GAATCATGAAGAAACGGACCAGTCCAAGCGCGGGGCTCACGCTGTAATCCTAGCACTCTGGGAGGCCGACGGGCGGATTGCTCGAGGTCAGGAGTTCGAAACCAGCCTGAGCGAGACCCGTCTCTACTAAAAATAGAAAGAAATTAATTGACAACTAAAAATAATATACAAAAAATTAGCCGGCATGGTGGTGCATGCCTGTAGTCCCAGCTACTTGGGGGCTGAGGCAGGAGGATCGCTTGAGCCCAGGAGTTTGAGGTTGCTGTGAGCTAGGCTGATGCCACGGCACTCCTCTAGCCTGGGCAACAAAGTGAGACCCTGTCTCAAAAAAAAAAAAAAAAAAGAAAACGGACCATGGAGATAGTAAGTAGAGACTTGGAAGTATAAGTTAGCAAATAAACACTAGATGGATCTTGCGATAATGGTATTCAGAGGTCCCAGGGTAGAAGGCATGCAGAGGAATGAAATATTTAATCAGGAGTCCATCCCTGCCTCTGTGCAAATGCACTTGCTCAGACACGGCGGGCTGTGGTGAGGGGGGGCAGTAGAATGGGACTCCAAGAGGGTACAAGGAAGGGAACAGCTAGAATCAGACAAGTAAAGTTCCAGGCAGCCTAATAATTTGACATCCTCCAAGACAGTATATTTTAGATATTAACTTCTTCGTAAGAGAGACACTAGAATAAGCACAGAGAAGAAGGGCCACTGGTAACATTGCTCTGCCTCTATTTCAAAGCATTGGCCTCAAATTGATAGAAACAAAAGCTCCACCAGAAAACACATTCCTTTTTCCTTAGAAGGAATTCATGTTCCCTTCTAGATTCTTAATCACTCATTCTTTCCCTAGTCCAAATAGCTAGCTGACATATCAGAACTTCAGGAGGAAACAAATATTACCTGAGTGCTGTGAAAGCAAAGACAAGAAGGGCTCTATAGTTAAACTGTTAAAAAAAATTTCAGAGTATTATGGGGGTACAAATGTTTTGGCTACATGAATTGCTTTTGTACAGTTTGAGTTAAAGTTTTAAGCGTGCCCATTACCCAGATAGTGTGTACTGTACCTGTTAGGTGTGAATTTACCCGCCCCCTCTTCCTCGCTCACACCTTCTTGGTTTCTGTTGAGTTTTATTCCCATACATGCCCATGAGTGTTGAATGATTAGTTCCAATTTAATAGAGGGTATATATGGTGCTTGTTTTTCATTCTTGTGCTATTTCACTTAGAAGAATGATCTCCAGTTCCATCCAGGTTGTTACAAAAGGTATTAGTTCACCATTTTTTTATGGCTGAGTAGTATTCCATGGTATACATACACAACATTTTATTAATCCACTCGTATAGTGATGGGCACTTGGGTTGATTCACATTTTTGCAATTGTGAATTGTGTTGCAATAAACATTCAAGTGCATGTGTCTTTTTGATAAAATGACTCTTTTTTCTTTTAGGTAAGTCCCCAGTAGTGGGATTGTTGGATCAAAAGGTAGGTCTACTTTTAGTTCTTTGAGGTATTTCTATACTACTTTCCATAGAGGTTGTATTAGTTTGTAGTACCACCAGCAAAGTATAAGTGTTTCTTTCTCTCTACATCCACATCAGCATCTATTATTTTGAGATTTTTTGATAAAAGCCATTCTCACTGGATATGAAGGTGATATTGGCTTTGTAGAATGAGTTGGGGAGGATTCCTTCCTTCTTGATGTTATGGAATAATTTCTGCAATATTTAACCTTCTTAGCAGCAGGAAAACCTGATTCTTTCTGAGGGTTTGGGAACAGTGGTGTGGGAAGGAGAACTGTATTCGTGGAGCCAGTTGGGGATGGCCGATGTATAGATTCCTATTACTCAGAATAGTTTCCCTGGGGGGTTCCATGGATAAAGAGGTCTAGACACAATGAAGAGCCACCTGATTGTGGGAGGAGCATGAGAATTGATCCGGAGCAGGTGATGAAAATTTCCCTTGCATACTGCCTTTAGGGGAAGATGTGAATCTGGGTCAGAGTGGAAAAATAGATCCTTTATGCTTTTTCTGTATTTCTACTTGGTACTTTATTTCTAAGCACAGGAAGCCACAATTGCAAGTATCCTGTGAAATGTTCAAGGTAATGGCCAAATAACCAAATATGATTAAATATAATCAAATTAAAATGTAGTCTGTGTAATAGATCTGATACTTTACATGGATAACTCATTTAATCCTCATAATTCTCCCCTTAAATTTATTGTTATCCACATCTTACAAGGAAAAAAGTGATCATGCAGAAGTAAAATGACTTGCCAAGATAATCTACTCAGCCAGGAAGCACTGAAATGAACTCAGGAAATCTGGCTCCAGAGCTTAATGCCTCACCTACTGCACTGTGTTCTTTCCCACCCAGCATGCTCCTTGCCCTCCTCTATTGTTCTCTCTCTTTTTTCTCACTGACTTAGATATTCTCTTAGAGCTCTGAGAGGTATTTTCTGTGAGACTTTGGATGTGCCTCTTTGTGCTTGTAGTTCCTTTCTTCTTACTCCTGACTCTTTCCTAAATGATCCTAGAACCCTCCAAAGGTGTTTGACAGAGAAGCAGCAGGCCCTTGAATAGGCCCTCAGAAGCCAATGAATGAAATAAAAGTCCTCCTTCTCACAGAGAGTAACCTCTTTCCAGAACCTCAGTAACAGCCATGTAAGCCTCACTGCCCCTCTCCCACCCTGCCTTTGCTATCTCACTATTAAAGTGATAAAACATCATCAGAGTTGCAGGCAGAGAGCAGTTGTTTTATGAGGACTTATGCCAGATGTCTTATTGTTTTCTTCAGGAGGGATATGTTAATAACTGGAGAGGGGTGGGAGAAATGTGAGAAAATAAATGTCTGATAAATTTCCTTCTAAGGAAAAAGGAATGTGTTTTCTGGTAGCTTTTGTTTCTATCAATTTGAGGCCAATGCTTTGAAATAGAGGCAGAGCAATGTTACCAGTGGCCCTTCTTCTCTGTGCTTATTCTAGTGTCTCCTCTACGAAGAATTAAATATCTAAAATATACTGTCTTGGAGGATGTCAAATTATTAGGCTGCCTGGGAAACTTTACTTGTCTGATTCTAGCTTGTTCCTTCCTTGTACCCTCTTGGAGTCCCATTGCTACTCCCCCCCTCACCCACAGCCCGCCGTGCTCTGAGCAAGTGCATTTGCACAGAGGCAGGGAATGGACTCCTGAGTTAAATATATTCATTCCCTCTGCATGCCTTCTACCCTGGACATCTGAATACCATTATCGCAAGATCCATCTAGTGTTTATTTGCTAACTTTATACTTCCAAGTCTCTACTTACTATCTCCATGGTCCGTTTTCTTTTCTTTTTTTTTTTTTGAGACAGGGTCTCACTTTGTTGCCCAGGCTAGAGTGAGTGCCTGGCACAGCCTAGCTCACAGCAACCTCAAACTCCTGGCTCAAGCGATCCTCTGCCTCAGCCCCCAAGTAGCTGGGACTACAGGCATGCACCACCATGCCGCTAATTTTTTGTATATATATTTTTAGTTGTCAATTAATTTCTTTCTATTTTTAGTAGAGACGGGGTCTCGCTCAGGCTGGTTTCGAACTCCTGACCTCGAGCAATCGCCGCCTCGGCTCCCAGAGTGCTAGATACACACGTGAGCCATCGCGCCCTGACTGGTCCGTTTCTTAATGTTCCCTTCTCAGAACACATGGTGTGGAGCAGGGGCGCTGGAGGAGACATCGATAGGACTAGGTGGGGGACACTGGCTAGAGATAGAAATGGGATGTAGAAAGGGGCCCAGAAAAGCACCAGAAGGGTGTGGTGAGAGAGAGAACTTCCTGATTAAAGGTTTGAGGGCAGTTTATAGAGCTGTCAGAATTAGACTGTTACCAGGAAAGAGCATATCAGTGGGGGCTATTCATGAAAATGGCTGAAGTTTTGATCACCACTTTGTTTTTGGCAAAAGAAGCAAAGCTACTGGAGAAAGATTAATTGACTAATTCCATGGCTAATTTATTAAAATATTTTCTAAGTACCGACAATGTACAAGACTCTTTACTTAGTGCTACGAACTCCTCATTCCCAAAGTAAGGAGGACTCTTGAGGAAACTACTGGTAGACTGGGTGTGAGGTGTGTTTAAACCTAAAAAGTTCTCCTCATTCTGTTTTCTGTTCTCCGTTTTGTAGAACAGATTCGGACATTGAGAGAGGAAGAGGTTGCACCTGGGTGCTGGGCTTCTCCACATTTTTGCTACCACATCCACAAGAACATGGGAGATCATATTTACACATGATGAATCACTATATGCTTACTCAAATTTGGACAAATCTCCAAAATGTTTATAGGGAGTACAATAAATGGGGAGGTGAACATTTTTCTTGAGATGTTTATTCATTAGAAAACATGAGTCATGGTGGTTCCAGAAGCTGGGAGTGGGTGGGGGAACTGGAGAGATATTGGTGAAAAGCTACAAAATTTCAGTTAGGAGGAATAAATTCAAGAAATCTATAGTACATCATGTTGGCTACAGTTGATAATATATAGTATACATCAAGATTGCTTAGAGAGTAGATTTTAAGTGTTTTTTTACTGTAAAAATAAGTATGTAAGGTAAAGAACCATTAATTAGCTTGATTTTAGCTATTATACAATGTATACATATATCAAAACATCATATTGTACACCATACATATATACAATTTTTATTTGTCGCTAAAAAATAATTTAAAAAACCCATGAGTCACTGTGAAGCATTTGCCACTGAATAAAGGGAACCTTAGTGCCTCTGCAGCATAGATAATACTGGCTTTAGATTATGAAAACATTTTACATGCTGGCTGTAAGTGTGTGTGAGCAAGAGTGAGGTTATTAGAGGTATAAATCTAAATTTGCTGTAATATATGAAGAGGATAAGCCATTTACAGAGTTTGGTAGCTTATACATTATTAGAAACAAATTTCTTGTGACACATTTCCTAACTAATCCTGCTATATATTGTGCAGAAAACAGAGACCACCTTATAAGCAGGAGGGGGAGTGGGGATGGAAGGGTTTGCAGCTATTTTATCAATTAGGCATGTAGCTTTAGGGTACAGAGCCTGTGCATTTTGAAGAACCTGTGTGGTCAAAAATGCTTGACATCTGAAACACATGTACAGGGAAAATAGCAAAGTGGAATTGATACTTGTATAAATTAATGTCTAAATCAGGGGTCCTCAAACTTTTTAAACAGGGGGCCAGTTCACTGTCCCTCAGACCGTTGGAGAGCCCTTGGAGAGTGCAGCGCACCTTCCACACATGCACACTGTGGGCCCGGGACAAGTCGGCTGCTAGGCAGCACAGGCAGCAGTGGCAAAAACACCCTGCGGCCTAGATAAATGTCCTCGGAGGCCCTCATGTGGCCCATAGGCCGTAGTTTGAGGATGCTTGGTCTAAATAATAACAGCTAGGCCAAAAAGCAACTAACTCAACCCTACATAGTTATCTAACAGTTATATCTGATGAGGTTTGTGAGTACATTTTAATATGTTGTTATAAAGTTAGGAGAGTCTTATGGATTAAGATTGCATACGGACATAAAAGGTCTTTATATAATCCCCTAAGGGTGGAATAGGCATTACCAAAAAATAGAGCTGGTTAGGACTCACAGGAAGAAAAGAAAACATCAGGAGGAAAAAGTGAGCACAGAATCTGGTCAGGAGCTGCAGGGAAGAAGTGAATCCATTTCTCCTTAGCCTGGATCAAATCTCTTTGATTCTCATTCCCAGCCCTCCTTGATTCGAGCTGAAACTGACTCCCATCACTTTGCTACTTCTCCAGTGCTTCTGTAAATGATGGGTGTTTTCAGAGCATCTGAAGGAAGTCTGCCAGGTAGTTCTGACCCAAGCTAAGTCCATGACTGGTGGACCTGCCTGATGTACCATCCCATAGCCCTTGGGTTAGGGTTTTGAGACACCAGTTCCATCTGAGAGACCTGGTCCCAGGCTATTTTCCTCATTGGGCATTTCTATTATCCAATTTCCTCCTCTTTCTTCCTGGGAAAGGAGTTTCCTTTGATCATTTTGGATGAAGAATAAGACTTTAATATTGCCAAATATGCATGAAGGTATTTGCCTCTTGGAAAAAAATACAATAGAATCATGGCCAGATAGCTTTATTTTTAATAATAAAAAACAAGAATAATAACCTACTTTTCTGAGTACTTTACATGGATTAACTCTTTTAATCCTCATAATTCTCCCCTTAAATTTATTGTTATCCACATCTTACAAAGGAAAAAAGTGAGTCATGCAGAAGTAAAATGACTTGCCCAAGATAATCTACTCAGCCAGGGAAGCACTGGGAAATGAACTCAGGAAATCTGGCTCCAGAGCTTAATGTCCTCACCTACTGCACTGTGTTCTTTCCCACCCAGCATGGCTCCTTGCCCCTCCTCTATTGTTCTCTCTCTTTTTTCTCACTGACTTAGATATTCTCTTAGAGCTCTGAGAGGTATTTTCTGTGAGACTTTGGATGTGCCTCTTTGTGCTTGTGAGTTTCCTTTCTTCTTACTCCTGACTCTTTCCTAAATGATCCTAGAACCCTCCAAAGGTGTTTGACAGAGAAGCAGCAGGGCCTTGATAGAGCCCTCAGAAGCCAATGAATGAAATAAAAGTCCTCCTTCTCACAGACAGTAACCTCCTTTCCAGAACCTCAGTAACAGCCATGTAAGCCTCACTGCCCCTCTCCCACCCTGCCTTTGCTATCTCACTATTAAAGTGATAAAACATCATCAGAGTTGCAGGCAGAGAGCAGTTGTTTTTATGAGGACTTATGCCAGATGTCTTATTGTTTTCTTCAGGAGGGATATGTTAATAACTGGAGGGGGGTGGGAGAAATGGTGAGAAAATAAATGTCTGATAAATTTCCTTCTAAGGAAAAAGGAATGTGTTTTCTGGTGGAGCTTTTGTTTCTATCAATTTGAGGCCAATGCTTTGAAATAGAGGCAGAGCAATGTTACCAGTGGCCCTTCTTCTCTGTGCTTATTCTAGTGTCTCCTCTACGAAGAAGTTAAATATCTAAAATATACTGTCTTGGAGGATGTCAAATTATTAGGCTGCCTGGGAACTTTACTTGTCTGATTCTAGGCCTGTTCCCTTCCTTGTACCCTCTTGGAGTCCCATTGCTACTGCCCCCCCTCACCCACAGCCCGCCGTGCTCTGGGCAAGTGCATTTGCACAGAGGCAGGGGGATGGACTCCTGAATTAAATATTTCATTCCTCTGCATGCCTTCTACCCTGGGACACTCTGAATACCATTATCGCAAGATCCATCTAGTGTTTATTTGCTAACTTTATACTTCCAAGTCTCTACTTACTATCTCCATGGTCCCGTTTCTTTTCTTTTCTTTTTTTTTTTTTTTGAGACAGGGTCTCACCTTTGTTGCCCAGGCTAGAGTGAGTGCCATGGCATCAGCCTAGCTCACAGCAACCTCAAACTCCTGGGCTCAAGCGATCCTCCTGCCTCAGCCTCCCAAGTAGCTGGGACTACAGGCATGCACCACCATGCCCCGGCTAATTTTTTGAATTATTTTTAGTTGTCAATTAATTTCTTCTATTTTAGTAGAGACGGGTCTCGCTCAGGCTGGTTTCGAACTCCTGACCTCGAGCAATCCGCCCGCCTCGGCCGTGCTCCAGAGTGCTAGGATTACAGGCGTGAGCCACCCGGCGCTTGGATGGCCTTCTTCATGTTCCCTTCTAGATTCTTAATCACTCATTCTTTCCTAGTCCAAAATAGCTAGCTGACATATCAGGACTTCAGGAAAACAAATATTACCTTGGAGTGCTGTGAAAGCGAAACAAGAAGGGCTCTATATTAAAACTGTTAAAAAAAATTTCAGAGTATTATGGGGGTACAAATGTTTTGGCTACATGAATTGCTTTGACAGTTTGAGTTAAAGTTTTAAGCGTTGCCCATACCCAGTAGTGTGTACTGTACCTGTTAGGTGGAATTTACCCGCCCCTCTTCCTCGCTCACACCTTCTTGGGTTCTGTTGAGTTTTATCCCATACAGCCCATGAGTGTTGAATGATTAGTTCCAATTTAATAGAGGTTTATATATTTGGGTTTCATTCTTGTGCTATTTCATTTAGAAGAATGATCTCCAGTTCCATCCATTGTTACAAAGGTATTAGTTCATTCCTATTTTATGGCTGAGTAGTATTCCATGGTATACAATACAACATTTTATTATACCATCGTATAGTGATGGCACTTGGGTTGATTCAGCTTTTGCAATTGTGTAAATTTGTGTTGCATATAAACTTTTCAAGCATGTTGTCTTTTGAATAAAATGACTTTTTGTCTTATGGTATAGTCCCCAGTAGTTAAGGATTCGTTGGAATCAATAATGGTAGTCTTATACTTTTAGTTCTTTGAGGTATTTTAACACTTCCATGAGAGTTGTATTAGTTGTAGTTCACCAAGAATCAAGTATAAGTGTTCTTTCTCTACATCCACGAATCAGTCATCTATTATTTTAGGATTTTTGTTATAAACGCATTCTCACTGGATAAAGGTGTATAGGTGCTTTGTAGAATGAGTTGGGGAGGATTCCTTCCTTCTTGAGTGTTATGGAATAATTTCTGCAATATTTAACCTTCTTAGCAGCAGGAAAACCTGATTCTTTCTGAGGGTTTTGGAACAGTGGTGTGGGAAGGAGAACGTGTCATGTGGAGCCAGTTGGGATGGCCGATGTATAGATTCTATTACTCAGAATAGTTTCCCTGGGGGTCCATTGATAGAGGTCTAGACACAATGAAGAGCCACCTGATTGTGGGAGGAGCTAGAGAATTGATCCGGAGGCAGGTGATGAAAATTTCCTTGCATACTGCCTTTAGGGGAAGATGTGAATCTGGTCAGAGTGGAAAAATAGATCCTTTATGCTTTTCTGTATTTCTACTTGGTACTTTATTTCTAAGCACAGGAGCCACAATGCAATTATCCTGTGAAATGTTCAAGTAATGAGCCAAAACCACAATATGATTAATATAATCAATTAAAATGTAGTCTGTGTAATAGATTTTTTTTTTTGGAGACAGATCTCACTCTGTTGCCCAGGCTAGAGTGAGTGCCTGGCGTCAGCCTAGCTCACAGCAACTCAACTCCTGGGCTCAAGCAATCCTTCTGCCTCAGCCTCCCGAGTAGCTGTTGACTAAGATGTGCGCCTATCGTGATTTTTTTCTTTTTGATATTTATTATGTAGTTCAATGTAGTCTTCTATTTGTAGTAGGAGGTTCGGGTCTCGCTGCTGCTCTAGGTGGTTTTTCGAACTTCTCTTGTACCTCGTGCTAATTTCCTCTCCGCGCTCCTCTGGTCCTCCTCAGAATTTAGGCTAGGATTACAGGTCTTTGTTTTCTCTGTGATGCATTCCGCGGCCGGCCTGTTAATAGATCTAAAAGAAGTAAAGATATATTGTTATGAACACAGGCTATCACAAAGTCATGTGACTTAAGTCATGGATTTTAAGGTTAAACTTTGGATAAACAGAAGTGGAAGGGGAGGGAAATTTAGGTAAGCACAGGAAGAACAAAATCATGAGGTAAGGACAAGTACAACATAGGTAGGGGGCAAATGCTGCTTGTGTGGAAATATAGAATAAGATTAGAAAGTAGGGTGGAGCCAAGCTCTGGGGGCAGGGTAATTGGAGGCAAGTGCAGCCTCTATTGGTTCTTGAAGCATTATTGTCATAGATACTCTATATGCAAATAAAGCATTCAGGGCAAGAAGCCATTCCTATACCCAAGTGAGCATCCTCTGTGGGCACTTTCCCCTGTAGAGTCCAGCAACTTAGAAATCCATGATATTTTTTGTGATCTCTGCACATACTCAGAGGTGCTTTCTGTTCCTATCACTTTCAGCCGACTCATCAGCTTCTAAGTCATTGCAGAGAGAAACATAAAGTGTGTCATGTCCCACACCAACTTTACCGTCTTCCACCCTGCAGTGTTTGTCCTGCTTGGCATCCCTGGGTTGGAGACTTACCACATTTGGCTGTCAATACCCCTTTGCCTCATGTATATCACTGCAGTCCTGGGGAACAGCATCCTGACAGTGGTCATCATCACCGAACGTAACCTCCATGAGCCCATGTATTTCTTCCTCTCCATGCTGGCTATCACGGACATTCTGCTGTCTACCACTACTGTGCCTAAGGCCCTAGGTATCTTTTGGCTCCATGCCCATGATATTGCCTTTGATGCCTGTGTTACCCAAGTCTTCTTTGTCCATGTGATGTTTGTGGGGGAGTCAGCCATCCTGTTAGCCATGGCCTTTGACCGTTTTGTGGCCATTTGTATCCCCCTAAGATATACGACAGTGCTAACAAGGCCTGTTGTGGGAAGGATTGCTCTGGCCATTGTCACTCGAAGCTTCTGCATCATTTTCCCAGTGATCTTCTTGCTGAAGCGGCTGCCCTTCTGCCGAACCAACATCATTCCCCATTCCTACTGTGAGCACATTGGAGTAGCTCGCCTAGCCTGTGCTGACATCACTGTTAACATCTGGTATGGCTTCTCAGTACCTATTGTCATGGTCATCTTGGATGTGATCCTCATCGCTGTGTCTTACTCACTGATCCTCCGAGCAGTGTTTCGTTTACCCTCCCTGGATGCTCGGCATAAGGCCCTCAGCACTTGTGGCTCCCACCTCTGTGTCATCCTCATGTTTTATGTTCCGTCCTTCTTTACCTTATTGACACATCGTTTTGGACATAACATTCCTCGACATGTCCATATCCTGCTGGCCAATCTTTACGTGGTGGTGCCACCAATGCTCAACTCCATTGTCTATGGCGTGAAGACTAAGCAGATCCGGGAGGGTGTAGCCCACTGGTTCTCTGACATCAAGAATTGGTGCTCTGCCTCTCCTCTGGGCTGATGAATCCCCATGAGTCTCCATGCCCAGCTTCAGCAAAGAAGATGTTAAATACAGAAGTTTCCTGAACTGAGAGGGCTTTTCTTTCTCCTCTTCTTCCTCTTTCGATTTTATCCTCCTACCTCCATTTTTATCTTCTAGCTCTTCCTCTTTACTTTCTTCTACTGTTTCCTTGTTTTCTCTACCCTCTTTACACATTCCTTCCAACAACCCAGAAATGATAACTAAGTGTACATGCATCTGATATGAGCCTTTGGTATACTCAGTAGACTAGATGTATTCCAGAAGCACAGGGAGCTTGAATTGAGGTTATAAACAAATTAATAAAAAGTAATTTTATATTTAACATTTGAAGGGATTGCATTTTTTAAAAATCTCAAAATGTGCATTGATTCTTTGTACAGAACCAAGTAACTGTCCACCCACTTCTACAATAGGAGGCATTTTGAAAAACAGCTATACAAGCCCTTCACCCATCTGGAAAACTCCTCCTTCTTCAAATTTCAGTTCAAGAACTTCCTTTCCTGAGAAGCCTTTCCTAATTTCTCCAGGCAAGCCAAGGGTCCTGTCTTCATATATCTAGTGCATCTTGTACAAATCCCCAAATGTGCACAATGAATTGTAATTTAATGAGTTGTTCATTTATTTATATCACAATTCATTGTAAACACCTTGAAATCAGAAGAATATCATTAATATTTATACCCTCAGTGCATTACAAAATGCCTGGCATATAATAAATGTTTGAAAAATGAATGGGAGCACAATTACCTTCCTGAAGTCAGAACATGCATCTCTATGATACACTGAAATAACCAGCTAAGTTAGTCTATAAAACCAATGATCAGTAAACCAGCTTCTCATGAAGGCAGTTTGGCATCATGGAGACAGATCAGCTGCTGATCTGCAGTACTTACCTATCAGGACTTTGCTGTAACTCAGAGACCAGGGAATAGACAAAGTAGGAGAAAGCAGGGTACTCTTGATTCTCTCTTCTACCTGGCTTTTGAACAGCCCCAGTATTAGGAATTATAGCACATTGCTCATGACCAATTTAGCAGAATTTGAGTCGTCTCTTGGGGTTCACAGTCTTAACATTATTTTATGTTTTTCTAGAAAAGGTCATGTATACTCATTTCCTCAACCATCACCTACGCTAATGAGTTCTACATCTCTCTCTCTAGCCTAGAACTCTCTTTTGAGTTTTAGACACATAAATCTACCCTATTAACTGGTTATCTCCTCTAGGGTATAGAACTCCCGTTCAAGTCAACTTTTCCTCTTGTGTTCCTTTTCTTGGGAACTAGATTATGATGATCCTGTCAACTTCACTGAGCTGGAAACCCTGGAGTCTTTCTCAATTTCTTCCTCTTAGACCTACTCCTCAATAAGTTATTGGTTGGTACTCATAGTGATTATATCATTAAATAGGTATGTGGATGGTATTTGCAGTCATATCAGGATACAAGTCCTGTTCACATGGTTTTATAGCTGTGTGTACTTGTGAAATTCATTTAACATTTTTAAACCTCAATTTTTCCATCTATAAAATGGATACTTTATAGGATACCATCATAGAGTTATTGAGAAGATTTATGAAGTAAACTGTATGTAGCATTTAACATAATCCTTAGTTCACAGTATCTGAGAAATATTTTATTAATACCAAGTTATTTATTTATTTATTGTTTTGTTAAGACAGAGTCTCACTCTGTTGCCTGGGATAGAATGCTGTGCGTCAGCCTAGCTCACAGCAACCTCAGACTCCTGGGCTCAAGGAATCCTTCTGCCTCAGCCTCCCAAGTAGCTGGGACTGCAGGCATGTGCCACCATGTCTGGCTAATTTTTTCTATATATTTTTGGTTGGCCAATTAATTTGTTTCTATTTTTAGTAGAGACAAGGTCTCGCTCTTGCTCAGGCTGGTTTTGAACTCCTGACCTTGCACAATCCGCCCACCTCAGCCTCCCAGAGTGCTAGGATTACAGGCTTGAGCCACCGCGCCCAGCCAATACCAAGTTATTGATATTGCTAGTCTTCATCTTAACACTGCCTTTACCAATTACTTATGACCTTTCCATCTTTTACCTCAGATACTGCATCAGTTTTCTAACTGATTTCAATGTTTTCAATCTTTTCCACTTTGACCTAAATTATAAAGTGACTCTAAGTTAAGCATTCTAAAAGACAGAGCTGATCAAGCAACTTTCTGTCAAATACTTTGGAGGATTTTTATATTACTTATAGAGTTTTTTTCTCACATTTCTGTGACCATGAATATCTGTAGTCATATTCATATGATTATTTTTGATGGCATACCAGTCTACACCTCTAAAATAACCTAGTGTTCTGTTAGCTACAGTTGGAAACCACAGGACTACAGAGTAAATTCCAAGCTAAGCATTAATTTAATAATCTAGTCTTAACTTTTCCATCACTATCTCAAAACACAGCACTACATAATAATACATTAATATATAAGATAGTACTATTAATGATAATAATAGTTACAATAAAACAGCTAATGTTTATTAAGAGATTCCTTTATGCCAGAAACCATGTTAAGTGCTCTGCTACATTATCTCATTTAATCCTCATACAAGCTCATTAGATAGTGCTGTTGTTATCTCTGTTTAGTATACAGGGCTACCCAAGGGTCAGAGAAGATAAATGATTAAAGTCATAGATCTGGCAAATGGTAGAGAACTGATGTCAATTCCTCTTTGAAGTCTTCACCAATCCCCTCAAGTAAGAGGTAATGATCTTATCCTCTGGGTCTGTATAGCAATGACAATTATTGTCTCAACTGAATATTAATTACTCTGTTTATGAAATCACCAGAACTTGAGTTCTGTGAGGGCAGAGAATATATTTTACTTATAATTATAGTTCTAATATCTAGTATATGCATTGGGTAACCACATGCATATTTATGGATTGAAATGGTGACGTGGTTGACTTCTGGACCTTTCATTGTTAAATATTACTTAATTTTATGATTGAAAATCACTTAAGCACACACACACACACACACAGAAACACCACACTTAACTCCTTCTGATCTGCTATTTCTTTTATCTCTTCACATGTTTCTATAATATATATATTGAGGCCTCGTGTAGCTATATAGGCTGTGTTTTAATAGTCTTCATATTAACTACTATCAACTCTACTCCATTCTGTGTTCATATGTTAGTCAGAGACATAGAGTCATTAGCAGATGCAGTTTGTACAGAGTACTGCAGGGAGGACAGTTAGATTAGCTACCCTCTCTGGTTCCTGACCTCTGGAGACTGGTTCTGCTAGGATCTGCTTCTGTCTAATTAAACCAGACATTACCTAAAGACTTAGTGGGGTAGAAGCTGTCTCCTCACCCAAGGGATTCCTGAGGATAAGGTACAAATACTGTCCCATTTCATGCTAGAGTCTGCATCTGGCAACTTCTTTCCCATGTTGGGGAAGAACTTTCTCTTCAACTGGGGTAAGTTTCTTGGCAGGTAATAGATGATCGGTTCCTGAGATTTTTTTTATGTTTTCCTGGCATAAACAGAATAAACTGTTGATTCAGACAAGATCTTCTCAAGTCCTCTGGATAGTGTAGCATAAATACACATGATCTAATGTGTACATCTTGACATTTTGAACTGCTGCAGACATTTCTGCTATGTAGGGCTGGGACTAGGGTTTTTTTTTTCCGAATATTAAAGTAATTTATAAATATTGAAATGTTAGAAAGTAGGTATATTAAAACTCACAACACTAGAGTAAGTTTAATATTTTATTTGTATAAAATTAGAATTATTATATTTTTACTAGCTTTAATGTAAGAAACTCATCAGTAATATTTTCAAAATAAAATTGTAGAAAAATTTAGCCATTAAAAATACATTACAACCTATATAGGGGTTCCCATTTTTCCTTTTGCCTCAGGCTCCAAATAATGGCTCAGTATAGCATTGTCAGATCGTATCTTTATTTAATATTTTGATATTTTGTTCATCATGGATTTTTTACATTAATTTTCATTTTAAAAATCATTTCATTAAAATATTATTTATCTTGATTGCTATGTTTTTTGGTATCCACTTAAATTTTGCAACTAAGGTAAGTGCCACACTCATTTCATCTTAATCCTGATCCTAGGAGAGTCAACACCTGGATGTCTGAGAGAGTTATAAAGAAATGGAGGCCCTGATTATATTTCAAATCTTTAGATAAACCTCAAACTAGAAACATATTTCTCAGTTACAGGACAAAGACATCCCCTTTGTGTCCAAGCCAAAATGGAGTTAGATTTTATGTTACTTATAATGTAAAGTGATCCGATATACATATATAAAAAAGAATTACCTTATACATTTTAATCTTTAATTTGCTTTTTGAGAATTTAACTATATGCTATCGTTTTACTTTTTTATTTTTAAAGGGAACAGAACATTCCATTATAATATATACCATAATTAATTTATTGTCCTATTGATGGATATGGAAATTGCAACAATTTTTTTTGCTATTGCAACTGTGTAGCAATGAATATCCTTATAGATCTATCTATATGTTCTCATGTTGTAATTTCAGCAGGTAGGTGGCTAAAGTGAAATTATTGGATTAAAAGATTTACACAGTTAAAATTCTTAATAGCTATTGTCAAATTACTTTCGGAAATGGCTATTCTAAGTTACCTGCCACCAGCACTGGAGACTGTTTTCCAATCTGATAGGAGAACTGTAATTTTTCAATACGATGCTGATTTTCATTTCTTTAATATTTTTAAGGTTCAGCATCTATTCATATGTATATTAGCCATCTGTTTTCCTTGTAGTGTGAATTGCCTATTTTGATTCTTTGCATATTTTCTAATTTTTCCTTTTTTACTTGTACCAACTTTTAGTATTTAAGTATATTAACCTTTTTGTTTATTATGTGTTTTATAATTTTTTCTCCTAGAATTATTGTTTATCCTTGACTACATTTTTACATAATTGCATCATTCAATTGCTACTGTCTATGAAGTTTGTTTTTCTTATCCTATTCAGAGCATCTTTCCAACCCCCAAAGTATTTTCCCATGTTTTCTCCTGAGGGTTTAAATTTTTCAATATTTATATTTTAAAATATGTTTATAATTTTATTTTTAAATGCACATCTTTAATTTATTTGGAATTTGTATTTGCTGAGTGAGGTGGGAACTAATTTTCTTCTCTCACAAAAATAACATAGTCCAATATCCCAATACCGTTAATTGAATAAGCCTTTCTTTCCTTACCAAATTGAAATGTTGCTTTATTACATTTTAAATTTCAAATGTATTTTTATTACTTTCTGAAATGTCTATTAAGTTGTTCTGATCCATTCAATAGCAATAATTAGCATTTATTTAGTGTTTCTTTGCCAGGCACTCTGCTAGGCAGTTTATAGAAAGTATTTAATTTAATTCTTGCAAAATAAGTATGAATAGTTTAATTTAACAGATATGGCTAGATTTTTCAGATGTGAAAAACTTGCCTTTTGTCAATAATCAGAAAGTCAGAAACCTGGGATTGAACGTGGGGAAGCCTTCACATATGATAAATATTTAAGTTATGAGTTGGAAGATCCGTAGAACTTTAACAAACACCAAAGGTAGGAAAGTATGTTCCCGGGTTAGGATAAAAGCTTGAGAAAAGTCATGAAAGTTGGAAAACTCAGGTTTTGTGTGGAGAATAGCTAGTACAGGTGATCTTATTAGCTTTGTTAGAGTGCCTAAAAATGATTAAAGCTGGAGAAGAGAGTAATGAGATTGTGGAGGGCTTTGCATGATTGAGAAGTTTGGAGTTTATAAGTCAATAAATCATTATATAAGGGTTATAAAAGAAAACACAATAAGACTTTTGTTTTGGGCACACCACCCAGATGCAATATAGCTGATGAATTTGAAGAGGTTGAGGGTGGGAAGCTGGCAGATGGGGAGATCGGATTATTTTGGGATGCTATTGCAACAGAACAGGTGAAGGATGATTAAGGTCTAAGCAAGGGGAGTAAGTGAGAACAGGTTCTAGGCATTGCTGAGATGTGATCAGAAACCTTTGTTTATATTTATGCTTGCATTGATAATGCGCTAAGTGAAAGAATAACATTGTATACTCTCAGTCAAGTCATTAATGATTGATTCCATGATCTAACATTCAGCTTTTTGTGGAAATTATAGCTGGCTCTGCCTACTAACTCTCACTTTCTCTAGTCTTTGTAGAGAGACTCCCAAAGCAGAAATGTTTTCTGCTAATCTCACCACCTTTCATCCCACTGTGTTCATCCTACTTGGCATCCCAGGACTTGAGCAATACCATACCTGGCTTTCCATTCCTTTCTGCCTCATGTATATCACTGCAGTCTTGGGAAATGGAGCCCTCATTCTTGTTGTCTTCAGTGAACGCACCCTGCACGGACCCATGTATGTCTTCCTATCTATGCTGGCTGGCACTGACATTCTGCTGTCTACAACCACTGTACCCAAGGCTCTGGCTATCTTCTGGTTCCATGCTGGGGAGATAGCTTTTGATGCCTGCATTACCCAGATGTTTTTCATCCATGTTGCTTTTGTGGCTGAGTCAGGAATCCTGCTGGCCATGGCATTTGACCGCTTTGTGGCCATTTGTACTCCCTTGAGATACACAGCCATCTTAACTCCTGTGGCAATTGGAAAAATGACCCTGGCCATCTGGGGACGAAGCATTGGGACAATTTTTCCTATCATATTCTTGCTGAAGAGACTGCCATACTGTCGGACCAATATCATCCCCCACTCATACTGTGAGCACATTGGGGTGGCCCGACTGGCCTGTGCTGACATCACTGTCAATATTTGGTATGGCTTCTCAGTGCCAATGGCATCAGTTTTGGTAGATGTTGCACTCATTGGTGTTTCCTACACTTTGATCCTCCAAGCTGTGTTTAGACTTTCTTCCCAGGATGCGCGGCACAAGGCTCTCAATACCTGTGGTTCTCACATTGGAGTTATTCTTCTCTTCTTCATCCCATCCTTTTTTACTTTCCTGACCCACCGCTTTGGCAAGAATATCCCCCACCATGTCCATATCCTTCTGGCAAATCTCTACGTATTAGTTCCCCCCATGCTTAACCCCATCATCTATGGAGCAAAGACCAAGCAAATCAGGGACAGTTTGGCTCACATGTTATCTATTGTGGGGAAGTCTTAAGACAACTCATGGTTCCTTCATAGTTTTCTCTTATCATAGGAGAAAAGAGAACTTGTCAATCAAATTTCCAAGTTTGGGCACTATAGTGTGTTGTAGAAGAAAGCATACATGGGCTTTGAAATAAAATATATTTAGATTCAAATCCTGGCTTCCTTGCTTCCTTTCCTTTCTTTTTTTATTATTGCAAAAAATTTTTAATGATTAATCTTTAATTTAGGTTAAATATTGCTTTTAATGAGGCCGACACCCCCTGTGCAGAAAGGGCTCTGAAGAGATAGATGTTCATAGCAGTTCACATCTGTGGCTCTTCTTTGGTTCTGGAGGGTCCAGGGAAGCCAATAGTGCTTTGTCAAATACATTCTTTAGGCCTATATGTGTGAGTGCAGAACACTCCACATACTTAACAGACTTCTCCGGAGTGATGGGCTTCTGTTTGTTCTTGGAAAGGTTCTCAATAGTAGAGAGGGTCATCTCTGAGATGAATTTGCATCCCAACAAGCAAGAAAGGAGTCTTTGGACTGTAGTGAGTTATCTCAGGTACCCATTTTTCTTTCACATTTTCAAATCAGGAAGGAGAGACCACTGAAAAACAGACTAGAATTACATCTGTTTGTGGATAACTCAGTGGTCATAATCTATCATATTAATGATCCTTTGTCAGTATCAAAAGGCCCAAGAATATATATCTCTCCACCAATCATAACTTTGACTGCATAGCTGTCAAAAACAATCAGTACATATTCAGATGGAAATTTGTTTGTTGTATAGGATATCAGGAGACATATCTTATTGATAGTACCATCACTCACAACAAAGCAGTTAATTGTGAGCATTGCTGAAATAATTTTGTATCTACTTCAAGTATTTCAAATCTGATGTTGACCTCAATTTCTTCACCTGGGCGTTGGCAGCACTCTGTGGGGTCTCCTCAGCTGCTGGACAGGGGCACGCACTTGACCCCAGCTCCTTAACTTTCTGATTTTTGAAAATCAAGGGGAAGTTCTCATCTTTTGGAAATTTAGTCCTAAAATTAAACCACTTATATCTATGTTCTAAAGTTTATGTGAGGATTAAATATATAAACTACTTTGCACATTGCCCAGCATTATATGGGATGTTAATCTTAGCCTTAGCTATAATTCTAACTTGAAGTTTGTCTCATGAGGAAGACATCTTAAATTTGATGTACATGAGATTTCCAGTGCTTCCAGAGGCTCCTCTGTCTTCTCCTGCTTACCTTCCAAGACTATATCATGACTATAGTCATCTCCAACGTCATTGTCATTATAATAAGTTTGTTTTATAGATTAAATTAGGTAACAAATATGAAAAAGTACTTTAAAAAAAACTAAGAAACTATCCTCATTATTATATTTAAAAAATTCCTTTACTCATCCAGGAATTGGGATGAGTGACACATACATAGGCAGTACCCATAGAAAGCCAAGGGTCTGAGTTGAACATATGAACAAAGAGCAAGTTATGGAGTCACATTGATAACAGGAAAAATGATATATTACACAATATGTTAGAAAGATGTTAGAAAGATGAAGAAAGCTAATGTTAGATGTTAGAAAGATGTTAGAAAGATGAAGAAAGCGAATATTCTATAATTCTATATCCTCTTGTCTCTACCTTTTCCTAATCAGAGCCAGTTATATGACCTTAAATTCCATTTCCAAATTATGATGACTTCCAAATTGATACCTCCATCTGAGTCTTTCCCTTGAGATCCATATTCATATATTCAGTTATTTCTTGACATCTCCAGTGGTATGTCTAGTAGGTATCTCAAAATAAACATGTCTGTAATAGAAAGGATAGCCTAGGCCATCAAGCTATAAAAAACATACAATTTCAGTGAATTAACAAAACAAAGTTCATTCTTCTCTCAAAGTATAGTGTATGTCAATAGTATCTCTCCTCCATTTGGTGGGTCAGGAATCCTGGATCCCTCCATCTTTTTTTTTTTATTTCAAGAAAATATGAGAGTACAAACATTTTGGTTGCATTTTATACATTTGCCTCTCCCTAGCAAGGGTTAGAGGTATGCCCTTCCCCTCCACAATACTCATGGCATCTCTCAGATGTGGGTCTACCCCCACAACCCCTGAATCCCTGGTGAACACCACTACCATTTGAGCAATATAGTGTTAATCAGTCAGTACCAATTGGATGGCAAGTACATGTGGAGCCCATTCTTCCGATCTTATATAATTGGTGCTAGCTCACTGTCATTTCTTAAAATAGAGTAATATTCCATTGTGAACGTATGCTAAATTTTAATAATCCAGTCATGAATTGACGGGCACTTGGGTTGTTTCCATGTCCTTGCAATAGTAAATTGTGCTGCCATAAACATTCGGGTGCAGATGTCTTTATTATAGAATGTCTTATGCTCTTTTGGTAGATGCCTAATAATGCTATTGCTGGATTGAATGGTATTTCTATTTTTAGCTCTTTGAGGTATCTCCAAGTTCTTTTTGACAAAGGTTGCACTAATTTGCATTTCTACCAGCAGTGTAAGAGTGTTCCTGTCTCTCCACACCATCACCAGTATTTGTTGTTTGGGGATTTTCACTTTGTATGGAACCAGAAAAGACCTGGTATAGCCAAAGCAACTTAAGTAAAAAGGACTAACTGGCAGGCATCAGTCTTCCAGATTTCAAGCTGTACTATAAAGCAATAATAATTAAATCAGCCTGGTACTGGCATAAGAACAGAGGCATCAATCTTTGGAACAGGACTGAGTTTCCAGAGATGAAACCATCTGCATATGGTAATCTAATCTTTGATAAAGCAGACAGAAATATACATTGGGGAAAAGAATCTCTTTTCAATAAATAGTGCTGGGAAAATTGGTTAGCTACGTGCAGAAGAATGAATCTGAATAATATTCCATTGTATCCATATACACATTTTGTTTATCTATTCAATTGTCGATGGACACTTGAGTTGCTTCCATGTTTTGGCTATTATGAATAATACTACAGTGAACATGGGTATAGAAATATCTCTTCCATACATCTGGCTTTAAATTATTTTGAGTATATACCCAGATTTGTAATTGCTAGATCTTATAGTAATTTTGTTTTTAATTTTTTGAGGAACCACCATACTGTTTTCCACAGTGTATGTATTATTTTATGTTCCCATCAACAGTGTACAAGTGTTCCAATTTCTCCACATCTTTGCTATTTTCTGTGTTTCTTTTTAATAGAAACCATCTATGGGTATGAGGTGGTATCTCATTGCAGTTTTGATTTGTATTTCCCTAATGATTAGTTATATTGAGTGTGTTTTCATTTGTTTATTAGCCATTGGTATATTTTCTTTGGAGAAATGTCTATATAAGTCATTTACCCAGTTTTGAATCTGATTTTTTCATTGTTGCTGAGTTTTAGAGGTTCTGTGTATTTGGATATTAATCTCTTATCAGATATATGATTTTCAAGTACTTTTTCCCGTTCTGTACATTGCTTTTTTACTCTGTTGATTCAATTTTTGAAAATATTGCATGAAAAGAAAGTTATGTGTATTGTCTGTTTTTACTGAGAGTTAGTTCATTCAACACTCATTCAATCTCATCTTTCCAAAGCTTCCTCTATTAGAGGCTTGGAAACTAAAATACCAAAATTTTAGTTTTAGACTCTAGTCTTGAGTCTTCCTCATAACTAGAGATAAATATCAGACTCATTTTTGACTAATCCCAGCTGTGAGTAAAAATCTGTTGAAGCTTCCCGTTTCATTTGTTTATTCTTTTTCTCTGGAATATGGAGTTTAATGTGGAAGTAGCCATAGCTTAGGATGGAAGAGCAGAAAGATAGAAAGAGCCTGGTTCTCTGATGTCATAATAGAGGTGTCTTAATAACACTGAACTGCCTGATTCTGGGTGTGGGTGTTTGGGGGTAAGTGGGAGGATGGGTGTGTGGCATAAGATAGATAAGTTCTAATTTGATTAAGCTACTATAATCTAGTTCCTCTTATATATAGCTACACACAATCTTGTTTGTTTATTAATGCTAGGGGAGGCACACTTTCCCCTTTCCTGATGTTTTCTGCCATATTGTTATGAGTGGTGCAAAGTTAGAGATAACCAGATCCATGCACATTTGTGTCTCCTTTTTTTTTGTTTATTTGAGACAGAGTCTCACTCTGTTGCCCAGGCTAGAGTGCCATGGCATCAGCCTAGCACACAGCAACCTCAAACTCTTGGGCTTAAGCGATCCTCCTGCCTCAGCATCCTGAGTAGCTGGGACTACAGGCATGTAGACTACAGGTGCACACTACTGTGCCTGGCTAATTTTTTCTATTTTTAGTAGAGACAGAGTCTCACTCTTGCCAGGCTGGTCTTGAACTCCTGATTTCAAGCAATCCTCCCGCCCAGGCCTCCCAGAGTGCTAGGATTACAGGGATGAGCCACCATGCATGGCCCATTTGTGTCTTTTTACAATGTCAGATTTTATTGATGGTATTTCAGTCATAAAAGTTATGAGCTATGTGAAATTCTCAAGGAGGTAGTTCTCCTTAGTATTGCCCATTTACTTGGTAGTCAGAGCTGTGGACACACAGGCTCAAGCCATTCCACAAGTCAGTCAATATTGTATATCAGACATAGTAGTATACTTGATCATTGTATAAATGTTATAGATTAAAATTTCCACTTTAAACAAAGTAACACTTAAAAATTGAGCAAAAAAGGGGATAGGAAAGGTAATTAACGAACCAGTCCAAGGAAAGTGACATGGACAAGAAGAATGCCCTGGCTGATCTGGTCAGTCATCAGTGGAGTGGTCAGCATCTTGCAAGGAAGATTCATTCTTTTTTTTTTTTTTTTTGAGACAGCATCTCACTATGTCACCTGGGCTAGAGTGCAGTGGCAGTTTGATCATAGATCAAACTCCTGGGTTCAAGTGATCCTCCTTCCTAACCCTGTTGTAGCTGGGACTACAGTTGTGTGCCACCATGTCTGGCTAATTTGGATATTTTTTGTGGAGACAGGGTCCTGTTCTTGCTCAGGCTGGTTGTTAACTTCTGGTCTCAAGTGATTCTCCTGCCTCAGCCTCTCAAAGTGCTAGGACTACAGGCAAGGAAGATTTCTTGATTCAGGCAGAGTGTTTGGCAGCATATGCCAGTTGCTTATTAGGAGTGACCACAGGATAATTGCTATAGAAACATCCAGAGCTGGCTGGAAAAGTTCTGCTCTTTTCATGGCTCTTGAGTCATCTGGGGAGGACTGATAGTAAAGGGTTTTGCTCTTATCTGATTGGGTACAGTGGGTAGGCATCTGGTCCCTGTTGGCATTATACCTTTTAAAATGGAGTCTTTTTCTAAGATGGAGTCACTTATGTAAAGGGTATACACATATGCAGGCCAATCTATTGTCATAATACTTTTGGCTTCTCTCCATCTTTACTCATTCTTCAGAGTAGGTATCTTAATCTGATTAGTGAATGTAAAGGAAAAAATGGACAGATAGAACTCAGTCCCTTTCTTTCTTCTTGTCTCTGGAGCATGTATCTCTGTAGCTGTTAGCCATGTGGTAACTCTAGTTATAAAGGTCCCACGTGTGCAGGACAATTTGCAGTTTTTGAAGGTCAGTTTGCCTAAGACATTGTTAACGTTTGGTTCATTGACAGAACATATTGAGAAAGGTTTAAAAACCTATAATTTGGGCATTCAAAATACATGTTTTGGTGTTTTTTTTCCTCCCTATTTGCATCCAAAGGCCTGCCTTAGTTTATAGAGACATTTGGGTCTTTGAAGCTGCTTTTTATAGCTGTGTAGCTGACTTTTAATTGTCATGGCTGAATGAGTGGCTTCAAGCCTTACGGACTGCAAGGTATTGACCTTAGTGAGTCATTGTAACCAGTAATTAGCTGTTTTGTAGAGGCAGGGCAGAATATACTGGCCCTTAGCAAATTGTAGGCAGGCCAAAGAAAAGGCAAGGCCCCTATCTACATTTTATCAGACTTTAGCAAAGCTTAGGAATCATTCATACTTCAAAAAATGTATCGATCATGGACCTCAATAAGAAGGTGGGCCTCATTAAAGAAACAGAAATCCATGGCTTCAGGAAAGTCTGGGGGGTAGTGCAGAATAGACCTTAGCAAATCCCTGTGGCCAATGGCCTCAGCATAGAAAAGGACTTTTAGGGGGACTGAGCCACATAGTATGTAGGCTCTGCAAGGTTGAACTTGAATTATGGATGTGTGGCTTTGCCCAGGCTGTCATAGAGGGCAAAGATTAAACATTCAGGAGAAATTCTTCCAAACTCGGGCCTCTTAAGCTTTAAAAGGTAGAATGATTTTATTTTAGTTTTACTTTATTTTAAAAAGGCAACTGAGTAGAGTACTCATGAATTTCTTGCTTTAAATTATTATTACTAGCATTAAGTAGATACTTCAAGATGGGCTGTTCCAAATCCAGCTAAGGAGTTCTTTGTCCCCCTTGGGATGTAAAGAGTCACAGGGGAGTGTTGCTTCTACCCTAATAGAAATCAAATAATCTATAAAATTACAATTATATTAAGGCTATAAGAGATCTGAGGTTGTAATGTAACCCAATAAACTAAAATCCAAATTCAGCCCAGCTTTCCTGAAAGAACTAACAAAGTTATAAAATAAGCTAAATCACTACAGGCATATCTGATCACTTCAAGAATATATATATATATAGCACACAGAAGTTATCTTCAATTTTTAGAACATTCAAAAGTGAAGGAAAGTGTTTTGAGGTTCATAAGACAAATTCTCACTTGCTTTGATTGTCAGACTGGGGTCTCAGTTACGCATAGCCTCTTGTAATCATCACTATGGAAAAAAAGATTCATTTGTCATATGCTTAATAACAGATCCCCAAAAAATATAAAGCAGAAGCTGACAAGGTTTAAATGAGACATAAACAATTCAACAATAATAGCAATAGACCTCAATATTCCACTTTCAATAATGGATAGAATAACAGACAGAAAATCAGCAAGGAAATAGAAAACTTCCACAAAATTGCTATGGACCGAATTGTTTCCTCCCCAGATTGACATGTTGAAGCCCTAATGCTCAATGTGATGGTATTTGGAGATGGGACCTTTGGAAGATCATTAAGATTATATGAGGCCATGAGAGTGGGGCCCTTAAGATGGGATTAGTACTCTTTTAAGAAGAAGCACTAGAGAGCTTGCTTGATCTGTCCACCATGGGTTAACACAGCAAGAATGCAGCCATCTACGAGTCAGGAAGAGAGCCCTCACTAAAAACCAACCATCATGGCACCCAGATCTTAGACTTCCAAACTCTAGGACTGTGAGGCAATAAATTAGTGTTGTTTAAGCCACCCAGTGTAGGGTATTTTGTTATAGCAGTCCAAGCTAAGATGGATTTTGGTATTGAGAAGTGGGGTGCTATGGTAACAAATAACTAAAAATGTGGAAGCAGCTTTGGAAATGGGTAACGGCTAGATATGGGAAGAATTACAAGATGCATGCTAGAAATATGGACATTAAAGGCCCATGCTCATGGAATCCATTGGTATTACCATGTTCCCTACCATCCAGAAGCAGCTGGCTTGATAGCATGGCAGGATGGCTTTTTGAAAATTCAGTTACAGTGCCAGCTAGGTGACAATACCTTGCAGAGCTAGAACAGTTTTCCAGAAGGCTATATAAGCTCTAAATTAGTGTCCAATATATGATGCTGTTTCCTCCATAATTAGGATTCATAAGTCCAGGAATCAAGGAATGGAAATGGGACCAGCACTACTCACTATTACCCCTAGTGATCCATTAGCAAATATTTTGCTTCCTGCTACCATGACATTATGCTCCACTGGCCTAGAGTTCTTAGTTTCAGAAACAGGAATACTTCTACCAGGAGACACAACAATGATTCCACTGAACTGGAAGTAAGACTGCTGTCTGGCCACTTTGGGCTCCTCATGTCTTTGAAACCAACAGACAAAGAATGGAGTTACTGTAATGGCTAGGGTGATTTATCCTGACTACCATGGGGGTAGTCATCCATACTAATCAGTTGAAAGCTTAAATGGAAAGAAAAGGCTGACCCTCCCATGTGTAAGAGGGAACTCCTCCTCCTTACTGCCCTGAGCTGGGATATTGATCTTCTCCTTCATTCTGACTAGAATTTGTACCATCAACTTGCCTGGTTCTCAGGCCTCTGGACTTGGACTGGAATTATACCATTGGCTCTTCCAGGTTTTCACTTTGGTGACTGGAGATTTTGGGACTAGTTGGCCTCCATCATCCTGTGAGCCAATTTCTTATAATAAATCTCTTTCTTATAATAAATCTCTCTCTCTTTCTCTACACACACACACACACACACACACACACACACACACACACACACGTTAATTTTCTGTTGGTTCTGTTTCCCTGGTGAACTCTGACAAATAGAGACACTATAAAATAACTAGACCTAGAAGACATATACGTTAATAGAACACTCCAGCCAAAAATAGAATCTTCTCAAGTGCACATGGAACATTCTTCTCCAGGGTAGAACATAAACTAGGTCATAAAACAAGACTCAATAAATTTAAAAGGAATGAAATTATATAAAGTATGGTGCCTGACCACAGTGTCTTAAGGTGGAAGATTATTTTATTGATTTGAGATTTTTTTTATATAGGTGTTAATAGCAATAAAACTTCCCTCGATTCACAGCTTTAGCTGCATCCCATAAGTTTTAGTTTTAGTGTTCTGTGTCTTTATTTTCATTTATCTCAAAGTATTATTTAATTTCTCCATGATTTCTTTTTTGATCAGTGGTTATTCAAGAGTTTGTTGCTTAATTTTTATAAGTTTAATTTACCAAATTGAAGAAAATATCAATAGAGCTCTAAACAGTATAGATATTTAACTAATAATAATAAAAATAAAAATAAACAACTACCAACAAATAAAAGCTCAGAACCCAATGACTCCATTTGGCAATTCTACAAAACCCTTAAAGGAGAATTGATACCAGTTCCTCACAAATTCATCCGATAAATAGAAGAAAGAGACCATTTTCTCAATCATTCTATGAGATCAGTATTACCCTGATACCAAAACAAGACAAAGACATCACAAGAAAAGAAAACTATAGACCAATATCTCTAATAAATTTAGACACAAAATCCTCAGTAAAATACTAGCAAATAGAACCTAGCTATATATCAAGAAGATTATACACCATTATCAAGTATGATTTATTTCAGAAATATAAGATTCATTTAATATCAATAAATCAATTAATACAAGACATCATATGAATAGAATAGGAAAGAAAACCACATGATTATCTGAACATGCAGAAAAACATTTGACAAAAATCCAACACCCTTCCATAATATAAGCAACTAAAAACTAGAAATAGAAGGAAATTTCCTCAACCTGATAAAGGGGAAAAAACTGTACTCCAGGGAAAAAACCTGTATTGGAGCCATATCACACTTAAGGGAAGGGTATTTCTCTGACTCCAGGGTGTTGGTTAGCCCTGTGACCTCAATTCTCTGATTGGTTCAAGAAAAATGGTTGATTTTCAGCTTGTCAAGATTTTTCTTGATTTATTAATGAGAATGGGAGAGGACAACTTCTAAGCTCTCCTTACATGTTGGGGCTGAAAGGAAGTCTCTCTGAGTTTTCTTTTGTGATTGGGCCTTAGCCACATATTTTTAACTAATTTGTTAGTTTTCCAATCTCTTTATATTCATTTTAAAATGCTTATCACTTTTGCTCATTATCAGCGGGAGGCTTTGTCTGAATTATCCTATCAGGTATTAGTAAAAGTAGAAATCTTCTAGATTAGAAGAAATTGTAGTATCTTTTTGTGGGACATATTTTTTTTCATCTTTGAAACGTCAAAAGATATCAAACAACATATGGAAAAAAGAAGTAGAAATTTTATCCATCCACTAGTGTACTACTGTTTTTCAGCTGTTATTACTTCTGGTCTTGTTATGTGGCATCACTGTTATAAATAGGTGAAAACACATGGTCCAATTTTGCCTTGTCTATAGATATAATAATGCCCTTGCTAACCAGCTCACTCTATCAAAGGGAAGATGATTCAGGACTGCTTGAGTTTTAATGGCCTAAGTTTCTTACACTTGGACTTTCAAATGTTCTGGCACAAGTTGGGCTTCTCTTCCCCAAATCTGCCACAATGCCATGTCATTGGATCAGGGGAGTCTTCCAACGTTATCCACATGCCATTCTAAAGCCAATATCCACCTTTGCTGATCCAGACTTTGGTGTTGAAATAAATAAGAAACACTTTTACCAACCTTTCCTTCTTTCTGTTTCTGGACATATGTCAGTTTTCTTACCCTTTATACTGTCAATGAATTCTAAGACTTCATTAGGATTTTCTTAATTCATTAGAGAAGTTCAGGTAGTATTGAATGTTAACAATAAAGTGGTTAGGATATTCCTTTTAGGACTTTAATGCAAATTAACTCAAGAGTTGGTAAAGAGTTTGTGAAGTGACAAAATAATTTCTGTCAAATTCTTGACGTGCAATTATATAATTAAGCAGGTCCCGGAGGACTTAAAATCTACTGTCTTTACCATTAGACAGGAAAATTTCTGACAACTTTTAAATGAAATTTTCTTTGATACATAATTTCAACTTGTTTTGTCACCTTAATTAGCATTTTTAAAAATTAGCTGTGAAGTTGAATAGAGAGAAAGGGTTAAAAGCAGCGACTTTGAGACCTGTCTGTTTGGTTCAAATCTCACCCTGCAACTTCCTTCCTATGTGACCTTGGGCAAGTTTCCCAACCCAGTTTCTTCATCTGCAAAATGTATAAAGAACAGTTGTGCTTGCTTCATAGGGTTGTTACAGAGATTAAAAGAATTACTATTTGGGAAATGCTTAAAGCATGCTAAGTGCTATACAAAATAGGTAAATTAATTTGAATTGATGTTCCTAGCAATTGAGAGAGATGGAATATTAACCAAAGAATGTAGGACTCCAAAATCTGTGCTTTTTCTGCAGTATTACATGTGATGTTCTGTCATTTGAAGTTGTTTCACATCCTGGACACAAACTCATCCAAACCAAGAAGCTTCTGGAAGGCCACTCTTAGCTCCTGGGTCCTAAGGGCATATACCATGGGGTTAAGGGCTGGGGGAATGATGACCTGCAGCACATTGAGAAGAACAGGGATGAGGGGAACCCTTCTTCCTGCCAGGTGAGTGACGGACACTACAATAATAGCTGTGTAGAAAAAGAGAATGAGGATGAGGTGGGAGCTGCAGGTACTCAGAGCCTTTGATGTTGCTTCAGCAGAGTTCAGTCTCAGTACAGAACGAATAATAAAAGCATAGGAAGCAAAAACCAGACCCATGTCACTCCCAATAACAACCCATACCAAGACCAACTGGTAAAACCTGTTAATAGTGATGTCATCACAGGCCAGACTGGTGACCCCCAAGTTAGAGCAGAGGCAGTGGTCAATTTCCTTCCTGGAGCAGTAGTTTCTCTGCGCAGCCAGTACAGGCACTGGGATGGTCAACAGGCCATTCCTGAGCATCATGAGTCCTGTGGCTTTGAGCACAAATGCTTCAGTGACTATGGAAGGATATTGGAGGGGGTGACAGATGGCTATGTATCTGTCCACTGCCATGCAGAGGAAGATACCGGACTCCATACAGAAGAAGCTGTGGATGGCATAGATCTGAGCAAAACACTCAGGGAGGCTGATGGCCTTGGCGTCAAACCAGAAGATGGCCAGGATCTTGGGCATGATGGTGGTGGCCAGGCCAATGTCTACCACTGCCAATACAGCAAGAAAATGGAACATGGGCTCATGTAACATGGGCTCACGTTGAATGGTGACCATGATGAGGATGTTGGCACCCAGAGCTAAAAGGTAGAGCAGAGCCAGTGGCAGGGAGAGCCAGTGCTGCCACTCATGAATGCCTGGGAGCCCCATCAGGATGAACTCAGACACTTGAAACCCTGAATGATTCATTATCCTCAGGGCAATATTATACCATTGGTTGTCTTGTTCCCAGCATCTGCCTGTGGATTAAGGGGAAACAGAATAAGACTGTGGTTAGCTCAGTGGAGGACCAAAAGTTCTGTAGGGGAATAAGGCTCACCCACAATAACTCTGTCCTTTTTAACATAATACATTCTCTATCCTCCTTGAGACCCATGGGGAAAGTTCAGGTAAGAACAGAAAGGATCCTTTTCTACGTAGCTCAAAGCATGATGATTGGGTGTTCATGCACATGTGTGAGTGGTGCTCCCTCAAACCTTGTTAGTATTGTCTGGCACCTTACCCATCTGATGTGAAACAAACCATCAAACAAATTAAAAAGACCAGACAGTAGATGTTAAGATAAGGATTTTAGCAGAATATTGGCAGCTAAAAGTGAGATTTACTGCCTTTATTTTTCTGAAATTCTGGCTGGATTATTTATACTGGGAACATGCACACAAAGCAGGGGACATGTACATTATAAAGAACCTGATTTTCATTAGGTGAAGTTAGAGGGCAGAAGTGTTGTCTTCTTTCTTGAGGACTTCAGGAATAGAATAAGCAGCCATCATGGAAACCCTGACTATGCCTTTCTCTTATTTTTATTTATTTCAAAATATTAAGGGGTACAGATATTTTAGGTTACATGGATCATGTTTGTAATGCTTGAGTTCTGGCTATAGGTGTGTCTGTCACCCAAATAGCGTTCATAGTACCATTAGGTTGGTTTATTCAAGTCCTCTTCCTACCTCCATTGCTTTCCACTGAGTTTTACTACCCTATGTGCACATGTGTGCTCATTGGTTGGTTCCAGTTTAATAGTGATTACAAGTGGTATTTTTCCATTCTGGAGATACTTCACTTAGGAGAATGGTCTCCACAGTTCCATTCAGATTATTTTAAAAGGCATTAATTCATCTTTCTTATGAAGTAGTATTCCATGGTATACATATACCCATTTTATTAATCCACTCATGAATTGATGGGCACTTGGTTGATTCCACATCTTTGCAATTGTGAATTGTGCTGCAAACTTTCCAGTGAAGATATCTTTTTGATAAAATGACTTATTTTCCTCTGGATAAATACCCAGTAGTGGGATTGCTGGATTGAATGGCAGGTCTACTTTTAGTTCTTTGAGGAATCTCCATACTGTTTTCTGTAGAGGGTATACTTATTTACAGTCCCACCAAAGTGTATAAGTGTTCCTTTCTCTCTGCATCCATACCAGCATCTATTGTTTTTGGACTTTTTAATAAATGCCATTCAACTGGGGTAAGGTAATATCTCATTGTGGTTTTAATTTTCATTTCCCTGATGATAGTGATGTTGAGCATTTTTTCATGTTTATTGGCCATTTGTCTTTCTTCTTTTGAAAGCTTCTGTTCATGTCTTTTGGCCACTTTTTAATAGGTTGTTTGTTTTTTCCTTGCTGATCTGTTTGAGTTCCTTGTAAATTATGGTTCTTAGCCCTTTATCAGATGTATAGCTTGTGAATATTTTCTCCCATTCTGTAGATTGTCTATTTCCTCTGTTGATTATGTCCTTAGCTGTGTGGAAGCTTTTTAGTTTCATCAAATCCCATTTATCAATATTTGTTGTTGCCATGATTGCCATTGGGGTCTTTCTCATAAATTCTTTGCCTAGGCTGATACCTAGAAGAGTTTTTCCTACATTTTTCTCTAGAATCTCTATGGTTTCATGCCTTAAATCTAAGTCCTTTATCATCTTGAATTAATTTTTGTCAGTGGTGAGAGTTAGGGGTCCATTTTCATTCTTCTGCATGTGTCTATCCAATTTTCCCAGCACCATTTATTGAATAGGGTTTCTTTTCCCCAGTGTATATTGTGGTCTGCTAATGGTATTGATACAAAATAGAGTATAGACCAATGGAGCAGAACAGAGAATCCAGATGTAAAACCATCTACCTACAAACAACTGATCTTTGACATGACTTTCTTTTAAAGAGAGCTTTTGGTTGGCAAATAATTTGTGACACAAACCATCTCATTTAATCTTCACCATGCAGGTGTTGCGATTCATATGTGAGGAAACAGGTTGAATGAGTTGCCTACATAAGAATCCTATATTGAAAACACCATAAGTGACTAAACTATAGCAAAAGTTTTAATCTTTAGCATTTGCTTCCAGCATTCCTCCATCATAGTAGCCAACAGTTGAGTACCCGCTAGGAATATCATTTGTTTCTTCTTCTGTCTATGAAAGTAATGTTGAAGATATTCTTACAGCTATATTTTTAAATGATCAATGTTATTAATAAAAATGTAAGAGAGAAAATAACAACAAACTTCAACCACTTCCAGATTTTTCTATGGAATAGTTTGGAAATTCAGCAGGTTATTATTGCACATTTAGATGCTTTTGTTTAAATCATTTTGTGACTCATTTTGGTCCTTTAACACTTCTCTTCATTCTTGATTTTGTTCATTCTTGAATGGTTGGAGAATATTTTCAAGTTGGTATATCAAAAAGGGAACTTGGGCATTATGCTTTGGGAATCCTTGAATATCTGAGAATACTTTTTATTTCTTTATCCATGAATAATACTTTGCCTTCTCTAATATTTAGATATCAATATTACCTTTTCCAAATCTCTGCCTTTGCTTCATTTCACAGCACTAAATGTAGCATCAAGACTCTATCCCTAGGCCCGGCGCTGTGGCTCACGCCTATAATCCTAGCTCTTGGGAGGCCGAGGCGGGCGGATTGCTCAAGGTCAGGAGTTCAAAACCAGCCTGAGCAAGAGCGAGACCCCGTCTCTACTATAAATAGAAAGAAATTAATTGGCCAACTGATAATATATATTAAAAAATTAGCCGGGCATGGTGCGCATGCCTGTAGTCCCAGCTACCCGGAGGCTGAGGCAGAAGGATCACTCGAGCCAGGAGTTTGAGGTTGCTGTGAGCTAGGCTGACGCCACGGCACTCACTCTAGCCTGGGCAACAAAGCAAGACTCTGTCTCAAAAAAAAAAAAAAAAAAAAAAGACTCTATCCCTCACCACCTCTGAAAAGAATGAATGGCTATGCCATTATTGATTATAATAAATATATATTATCCAAGAATTGAGAAAAAATAATAAGAAAAATAAACCATAGCTCTTTTAGAAAATGAGAAATCATATCCCAGCCAAACAAAGGTTTAACATTTTTTTTTTTTTTTTTTTTTTTTTTTTTTTTTGAGACAGAGTCTCACTTTGTTGTCCAGGCTAGAGTGAGTGCCGTGGCGTCGGCCTAGCTCACAGCAACCTCAAACTCCTGGGCTCGAGTGATCCTTCTGCCTCAGCCTCCCGAGTAGCTGGACTACAGGCATGCGCCACTATGCCCGGCTAATTTTTTTATATATATATCAGTTGGCCAATTAATTTCTTTCTGTTAATAGTAGAGACGGGTCCTCGCTCTTGCTCAGGCTGGTTTTTGAACTCCTGACCTTGAGCAATCCGCCCGCCTCGGCCTCCCAGAGAGCTAGGATTACAGGCGTGAGCCACCGCGCCCGGCCTGTAACAATTTTTAAAAGTCTGTCTTGCCTGATATTAGCATAGCAATATAGTAGTCTCCCCTTATCTGTGGGGGTTTTGTTGTAAGACCTCCAGGGAATTCCTAAAACCATGGGTAGTACCAAACCCTATATACTCTATATGCAACAGTCTAACTGATACTCAAGATGGCTACTAAGTGACTAATGGTGGATAGCACATACAGCGTGAATAAGCAGGACGATGGGATGATTTACATACAGGGCAGAACAGAGTGGCATCACATTTCATCATGCCATTCAGAATAGTGTGCAATTTAAAATTTATGAGTTGTTTATGTCTGAAATTTTCCCTTTAATATTTTAAGACTGTGGTTCACCACACAGGTATCTAAAACTATGGAAAGTGAAACTGTAGATAAGGGGGGACCATTATGTGCTAATACATTGTATACTAATACAATACAGCTTCCTTTTGTAAGCTTCCTTTTGCTTACAATTTTCATGGAATATCTTTTTCTATCCATTTATTTTCAACCTATTTGTGTTTTTGGTTTTAATGTAAGTTGCTTATAGACAGCATATATATGTTTTCTTTAATCCATTTTTGGCAATTTGTACCTTTTAATTAGAAAGTTTAATTTATTCACACTTAATTATTGATAAGGAAGAACTTCTGTCATTTTGCTACTTGTTGTTCTATGTCTTATATCTTTTTTATTCCTCAATTATTGCAGTACTGCTTTCTTCTATGTTATATGGATATTTTGTAGTATATCATTTTTATCCCCTTCTTTCTTTTTACTACATATTTTTGGTTATTTTCTTAGCCTTGCTTTGGGAATTACAATTAACATGTTATAACAATTTGTAACATGTTATAATATGTTATAACAATGTTATATAACATGTTATAACAATTTATAATAATCTAGTTTAAATTAATACTAATTTAGTTTGAATAGTACAATTGTTCCTGTGTATCCATGGGGGAATTGTTCCAGGACCCCCCACTGATATCAAAACCTGTAGATGTTCAAGTCATTCACATAAAATGGTGTACTATTTGCATTATCTATGATATCCTCCTATATGCTTTAAATTATCTCTAGTTTACTTATAATTTCTAATGCAATGTAAATGCTATATAAATAGTTGTTATACTATATTTTTTATTTGTATTATTTTTATTGGTATATTATTAATATTTATCATTTTCTTCAAGTTTTTTAATCCACAGTTGGTTAAATCTGTGGATGTAGAACCCATGGATATGGACTATAAACAAATTCTTTGCTCCTATCTAGTTCTGTCCCTCTTTATCTTGTTATTCTCACAAATTACATCTTTGTATATTCTATGTCCACTAATATAGTAATAAATTTATTTTGTTTAGTAGTTATCTTTTAAATCATATAAATATATTAATGTATATTTATATATATATATATATATAAATATAAAATATATTACTACTGACTTTTATATTTACCTTGCCAGTCACCTTTACTGGTATTCTTTATTTCTTTGCGCAAATTTGAATTACTGTTTAGTGTCCTTTCATTTCATTCTGAAGGACTCCCATTGGTGTTTTTTGTCGGGTAGCTCTACTTGGTATGGACTCCTTTTTTTGTTTTTGTTTTTTTGTTATTCTGGGAACTGTCTGGAAATGCCTTAATTTTTCTTTTATTCTTAGTATAGTTTTGCTGGATATCAAAATCTTGGTTGAAAAAAAAAAATCTTGGTTGACGTTTTTTTTTTCAGCACTTTTTGTATGTCATCTGACTTCTAGCCTCCATGATTCCTGATGAG